GATCCGCAAAATCCTACGCACTCGTGACAACCTAAAGATCTCACACGGCAAGTGGCCGGAATTTCAAATTGAAAACCGGCCAAAACTTAGGTTTCAAATTCACGAATTTAACCTGCAAATCTATCAAAACCTATCCCACAGCCAGCTAGAACACAGAAAAAGGATGAGAAACCTCACCTTACCCGTCGGAAATGGTGGCTGGAGGAGAGAGATCGAGCGGCTGGAAGTTCCAGTCAATTCCGGCCACGTTTCTGCGTTTTCCGGCGAATCCCGAAGGTTTCCGGGTCTGTGCTGGCCGGGGAAGAGAGAGGGAGAGGCTGCGGTTCGAACGGAATCGGTCTCGTCAGTCTCGTCGGACTGGGTGGTCGGAGGTGGCGGCTGTGATGAGGTTTCCGATCGGTGAACAGTGACGGGAATGGGTTTGACGCAGAGGGAGGAGACACGGGAGAGAGAGAGAGAAAAAGTGAGGGGTAAATGTGAAAAATCTGATTTTACCCCAAACTTACTTCGAAATAATTACGGTTCCGCCACCGAACAAGTTTTGATCACCAAAACTTCGTTAAATCTCCAATTCAAGCCTACCGCCTGTCTACGGTTTCGTCTCAGTACCACCTACGCAACCAGACCACTTATGGCCCCAAAACCTTCCCGAGTACGAAAGTGACCAAAATTACCCTTAACCCAAGAGTAAATTAATATTTTCTCTTAATTAAATTAAAATAGGAAAATAATCGGAGTCGGGGTGTTACACCTTGGTTTGGTTATTTTGAAAACTGAAATCGAACCATAATTGATAGAAACCGACCACTTCGGTTATCGAATATATAGCTCAATCCTCAACTCAATGGCTCGAAAAATTATTGTAGAGTACCATAGTATAGCCACGTGATATAACTCATCCAGATTTTCAAAAATCATCATTTTGATACGCACCAGCTAGGAAAATTTGATATCAACAAAGCCTTAAATGGCCCGTCGCAGCCGATCATTTTCTAGTTTAACTACCTTCTTATTTATTTACTTATTATTTTAAAAATTAGTGTGAAAAGTGAAATTACGGCCAAAGACGTCTGTTGGTCTTACCAATACAGGCGGCGACATGAATATGAAGCTGTCTGTCTCGTTTTATATCTTGTAATTGTCTTTTGGTCTTTTCAAGTCTTGTAATAATTATTAACTCAACACGTCTTTATTATATCTTTGACTTTCATTTTCTTCCTACTACTTTTCCTGAGGGATATTTTGATTTTCAAAGAAAAAGACGTATAATCTTCCTATTTAATAAAAACGTCCCTTTTTTGGGTTGTGTTTCTAGTTGCTGAATTGGGGATTTAGTCATTATTTGAGTTTTGCGTGATTCTCTCAAGATCAATTCAACATGTTGTTGTATTTGATCACTTGAGAAGATTTACTCTTATTCGGCACATAGTTGCTTTGTACTTTTGTTTGTTCATTAATAATATACTGTCTCTTATTTTCGAAAGTAAAAAAATGTCCCTTCGTTTTTATGTGTATTAATTTTTCAGTTCTACAACTTGGACAGGAAATCGAAGAGCTAAGTAATTATTATAAGGCGCCGTGCCATTCAATCCTATTGCTTGTTTAGCAACAAAAAATTGTTTCAGAGCCAAGTAATTATTAGGGACATTTTGGAAAAAGCAAAAGGAGAGAGAAAAATTTTAAAAGAATCAAAAATGGACAAAAATGCCCTTATTTATTTTTAGATTTCCTAAGGAATCCAATACATTTGCATGTCTTTGATTTGAAAGTTGAGTGGTTTTTTTGTCTTTTTTGAAAAAACTTTGGCTTTTTCCAAAAGTGAAAATTTTTTTATGTCTAAAACCTTAAAACCTTGAAAAATCTTTCTTTCCAAGTCCTTTTTCTGCTGATAAACTCACTTTAAGTACATATTGCTGGCCACCATCTTTTACTGTTGATTGTAAACTTGAATCCTCCTCTTGCTTCAGTGCTAAGCAAGTGGAGTTGAATATAAAAGAGAGAGTGATATATATCCACAGAAGCCACTGCATTTTATATATCAGAAGTTGGGGAATTTTCAGTTGAGTTAGTAGTAATAATTATGGATCATGAGGACAATGAGGTGAAGAAGCCTTTTGAAATTGCAGGTAGAAGCTTAATCGACTTGGTCTTCTCTTGGTCTCTTAGGAATGTTCTCTTCAGAGATCTTTACAAACACCAGGTTTTGTTTCCAGTTATTTATCTCCTCATTATGCATATCTAGCTAGTGTTGTCAACTTTCCTTTCAACTCATTTGTTAAATTTCTTTTTGTTTTGAGTTATATAAATTTCACATTATTCACTTTTGCAGGTGACCAAAATTCCACAGACATTTTCGACAGTGGCGAGTTACATGAAGTCATTCATTCCTTCACTTATTGAGGAAACACATGCTGATTTACTCTCAAACGTTACGGCAATTTCGCAGGCACCTATTTGTGAGATTCTGACAGTTGAAACTTCTAAGCATCATAGGCCTCCCAAAGACTTGTTTTATGAAATTACAGTTGGGAAGATGATTACGACAGAAAGCAGTGCAGGAAAATATGAGCCAGCGGTTGGAGATATCTTTGCCTTGACAAATATTAGACCAAAATGCATTGATGATTTGAACAGGCCTCCAAATTTCTATCTTATTGCATATGTTCTCGGATCGAAAAATGAAAGCTCAGACAATCTCCAGATACTCTCATCAAAGCCTATCAGTGGGGAAGGATACAAAAAAATAAAGAGCAGGAAAGAAACACTGTTTGCTGTCTATCTGACGAACATGACCACAAATGTTCGTGTATGGAAAGCGTTGAACTCAGAAGAGACAAACACCAATATCATTAAGAATGTGCTGCAAGTGCAACCCAATTCATCAGATGTATTTTTCTGTACTCTTATCATTAAACTCAAAGCAAATAGTTATCCCTCACTAATCCATTTCATGTTTGTTTCTTACAGGGGGAGAATTCTTGCGCAGTCTGTTTTTCCGAAGACATGTGCTCCCCTGACCTTTCTACAAGATGGCCCACAGTGTGCTCTGATCTAAATGATTCCCAAAAGGCTGCAGTTTTAAACTGTATCAGTTTGAGTAAGTGTCATCACCATAATTCTGTAAAACTAATATGGGGTCCTCCTGGAACTGGAAAGACCAAGACAGTCGGTACGACACTCTTTGTCCTCTTTAAGTTGAACTGCAGAACACTAACATGTGCGCCAACCAATATTGCCGTGTTAGAAGTTACGGCACGACTCTTGAGGTTGGTTAATCAGACTCTTGAATATGGAAAGTATGGACTAGGAGATATAATTCTATTTGGGAATGTGGAGCGGATGAAGATCGATAATTATAATGACCTTTTTGAGGTATTTCTTGATAGTCGTATTAGTATTCTGTCCAAGTGTCTTGCCCCTTTGTCTGGTTGGAAACATTGTTTAGAATCCATGATAGGTTCACTTGAGGATCCAGAGCAACTCTATTCCTTGTATTTAAAGGAAAAGAGGGAACAGCACAAAAAGAATGACGAGCACGATGAAGAAACTGATAATAGCAGCTCAACAAGTGATGATGAGAGTGATCTTTTGACGTTTGAGGAGTTTGTGAAGAAAAAATTTGATTACTTTAGTGAGCATCTGAAAACTTGTATGGTAAACTTGTACACCCACTTGCCAACATCTTGCATTTCACTTGAGGTGGTGAAGGATATGATTAGAGTTTCGGATTTGCTTAAGTTGATTAAATCTATATTGCATCGGGACGGTGTTGCTAATGAAAGGTTACAATCACTTCAAAAAGATTGCGCACAAATTCTTAAGTCGCTTCGTGAATTTTCTGTTCCAAATTCAAATGATGGACAAACAATAAGAAATTTGTGCTTGGCAAATGCTTGTTTAATATTTTGTACTGCGTCAAGCTCTGCAAAATTGCACACTGAAGGAATGGCACCTCTGGAAATGTTAGTGGTTGATGAAGCAGCTCAGCTGAAAGAATGTGAATCAGCAATTCCCTTACAACTACCTGGTCTTCGCCATGCTATTCTCATAGGAGATGAGATGCAACTCCCTGCTATGGTTAAAAGCAAGGTTTTCTTTTTACCCTTTGTTTTCTTTAGTTTTTTAAATAATGAGAAGCTTATACACACGCACACACACATAAATATATTAACATCTTAGCAAATGAACTTGTTAGCTCTCCGAGAATGCTGAATTTGGAAGAAGTTTGTTCGAAAGACTTGTACTGTTAGGCCACGAGAAGCTCCTTCTTAATGTCCAGTATAGGATGCATCCATCGATCAGCAGGTTTCCGAAACAGGAGTTCTACAACAATCAGATATTAGATGGTCCAAATGTCAGTGAAGTAAGCTATGAGAAGTCCTTCATTGAGGGCAGAATGTACGGTCCGTACTCCTTTATAAATGTAGCCAATGGAAAAGAAGAATTTGATCGCGGGCATAGTCTGAAAAACATGGTTGAGGTTGCTGTTGTATATGAGATAGTTTCATGCCTTTACAAAGGTAATTACTGTCCTAAGCTAGTTGATGTTCTTAGTTGTTGTAAGAATGTGCTGATTGAGAAGGTTTTAGCTTGGTACATGGTACCTACTACTCTGTAGTTTTCTTAACTTTTCCTTCTTCGCCACAGAATTTACTCGAACAGAGAAGAAGGTTAGTGTTGGGGTAATATCACCTTACAAGGCTCAAGTTAATGCAATTCAATTGAGAGTCAGAAACTACAGTGAAGTTTCTGGCAAAGATTTCTCTGTAAGTGTGCGATCTGTTGACGGATTCCAAGGTGGTGAAGAGGATGTGATAATTATCTCCACTGTCAGATGTAATGGGAATGGATCTGTAGGTTTCCTCTCCAATCGTCAACGAGCAAATGTGGTTCTAACTCGTGCCAGGTATTACTGCATGTTACATCTTAGCTTGCTCATGTTGTAGATTAGATGTTTTGTCTGAATTATTTGTAGTTTGGATGAAGTTAATTTTTTGTGATTTTGTTGGTGTAGGCATTGCCTTTGGATATTGGGGAACGAAGCGACATTGACTAACAGTAACTCAATTTGGAAGAATCTAATTCTTGATACGAAGAAACGCAATTGTTTCTATAATGCTGATGAGGACAATAACTTAGCTCAGGCTATTGCAGCAGCCCTTCTAGAGCATAACCAACTACATACTCTGCTTGATGCTGATTCTCTGCTGTTCAAAAATGCAAAATGGAAGGTATGCTGCTACTTCTGGTTTTCCCTTTTTGTAATCATCATAGTATTTGCTTATGTGTTCATTAGCAATAATCAGTCTTTTTCCGATGTAGGTTTGGTTCGCCAACGAATTTAGGAATTCAATAGCAGAAATTAAAGACACCGAGATTCGACAGGACGTAATTTCTTTAATAAAAAAACTTTCTAATGGTTGGCGCCAATCTCAGAATGATAAAGTGATTATAGGCCATGGTGGGACTTCTGCTGAATTGCTAGAGACGTATGAAGTCAATGAGCTGCTGTATCTCATCTGGAGCGTAGAAATTCACAAGCAGAACTCAGATTTTGTCCAGGTTATGAAGATTTGGGACATTGTCCCACTTTCTGAAATTCCTAAACTTACACAGCGCCTTGACATTATCTTTGGGAATTATACCGTCGATAAGATGAACCGTTGCAAACACAGATGTTTTGATGGGTATGTAAATTGTCCTTGGAACTTCTTTTTTTCAACTTTTATTCCTCACAGGTTGGCAAAAAAACACAGTTTCATAATACCTATAACTTCAGTGGATTTAGCTTAAATAATTCATTATTACTTCGTTGGTGATCAGGGTCACTGTTGTTCCGAATAGATGGCCAGCAGATTCGAGCAGCTGTGACGAAGCTGATCCAACAGAGTTCCTTTTGAAACCATTTTCTTCACTCAGTCTGAGAGATAGGCCATCATCAAGTTCATCTTTTAGGTATGTTGCATGCATGCGGTCGAAAACATTTAAGCCTGTTGGGATATCCAGCTTTCTCTTCCTCTCTTTTACAACACAAAATATGCAGTGATAATCACCATTTCTCTAATTTGTGTTCATGGATTGCTTTAATTTAAGTACTAATTATTTCGTATTAATTATTATTATCAGAAAGAATTTTATGTCCAGAATGAGAGGAACCACGCACACCGGATCGAGGCCAAGATGGTAGTTAATGTTGCTTATATAATGGTACAATTTCCTATATGTTCTTCTTATTACAACATGACATTTGCGAAATCTTTTCATAAAACAGACTTTGGTAAATGCTAACAATTTTGAACTTTAAAAGACACTGTGTGCAGCAGCAGCAGCATCAGCAGGGGGCAAGGTGTTTTAGCTGTATGTTGGCAAGTTGTAGCCATTGCCAATTTACCGGATGTAGAAGAAGCATGTTTCTGTTGGTCTTTAATTTCTTGATGCGGCAATTCAGTGAAACAATTATCGAAATATATGAACCATTTTTATTACTTGATAGCTTCTATTGGCGTTGTTTTTTTTTCTTTTGGTTTGGTTGAAACTTGAAAGTTTTTTTTTTTTTTCTTGATTGTGGCTGTTCATGATTCATGGGTCCTCTGTTATTCTTGTGAAGTCCTATTTAAAAGTTTATTTTAAATATTAAATTTTACATTTAAGTTAATTATTTTTAATTTAATATTAATATTGGCTTAAGTGCTACAATACCCCCTGAAACATTAGTCAATTCCTACTAAACTCCCTTAAAAGTTAAAGTGACTCATTTTGTCCCCTTGACCGATGTTTTGTGTCTCACTTTGTCCCTCACCATCAAGTCTATTAAAAATTCGGTGAAAAATGCTGACGTGGCACCAATAGGACCCACTATTTTGCTAAACTAAGTGCCATGTGTGAAGAAAAAAAATTAAAAATTAAAAATTGTCTTTTAAAAACTTAATGTAACTATTAATAATAAAAATAATACTTTAAAACCAAAACACCCCCAATTCCCCTCCTTCACCCCATTATCCCTTCCCACTCCTCTCTCTTCCTCTCTCGCAGACCCAAAGGAAGCAAACACCAATCGAAACCTAGGCAACGTGGAACCAAAACCAGTTAAATGATTCGCATAATGCACATATAATGATATAAACATGTTTGGGCCTAAAATTCCACACGCCATCCCAATTGACATTGGCCCATATCAGAAGCAGGAGTTTTGGGCTTTGTTTTAAAAGACATAGATCAGCCCAGATGGTTTTGAAGGCCCAGACCCTTGTTGAAAGGACCCGACCCAAATTCCACTTTGGAATCCGAGCCGAACCCTTTGTGTGTCCGACACCTGGCGGGTGCTGGGCACAAATGACCAAAAAAAACCTTTTTATACCAAACCCAAAGACTCCAACTCGTGGTTCCACCTTGTAACCTTAGGCTGCCTACGTACCCTTACTGAGGAATCAAGCCACACGTAGTTCTTTCCTCTACTCATATCAGTCACACACTGAATATAAGTATGCCCTACACTGAACTCCCTTATCTTGGTTTAAGAATGTCTTAGACTGAAATCCTCTCCACCTAGGTGTACCTCTAATCCTAATCCGTCAACTCCATTAATACTGTTAATACCCTTCTCACAGGCTGAGTCGCAATCCTCGCAGGCCTCGGAGATACCACTTCTATTCGGGCCACAACCTAGAAAAAACTATCTATTCATCCCTTAACATGATTTAGATAACTCCTTTCGGTCAGGACTCGTTTACTATAAACCTAGCCCTAGGGTTGGCATTTCTGGAGTATCCGGGACTCCGTTTTACAATCTGTCGAATCTTATACGATCCTGGCATTATCTAGATCAATGTATCTATAAATGACTGTGATTCAACGGCTCAAACATGTTGAATCCAGAAATCACACACTAGGCGAGATCCGTTCGGGGCTCAAACGTTACCCGAATTGGAATCCGCGAGTACCCACTCGCTCGTGAGGACCAAGGGATTATTCTAGGACTGAATGTGGTCCCCATTCTGCTGCCCCCGCTCCGGCAACGCGTGGGTGGCTTGATCAATTTTTGGCAGCCGAAAAAACTCTAAACCGCCGACCTAAACTCCTACTCTAGGTGTAACACCCTGTTTGGAACCACTTTTGTTCTTGGACCTACCCCAAAAACTGGTCGGAAGTGGCTAGAATAGCGATCCCAAAATCGGCCAAACCGTAACTCGAAAATCAACCTGTCAAACCTAGAAATTTCTTTGATCCTACCCAACCATCAGCTAGAGCACGGAAAATAGTTAGAAATCCATACTTATTCATCCAATTTGGTAGTCGGAGGTGAGAGAACGAACGGTGGAAAGTTTTGACAGAAATTGGGCTGTTTTGGCCATTTTTCGGCGACTGGTGTTACTGTCAACGGCAGAGGAAGGGTAGGATATGAGTCGGGCGTCGGGCCGGTTCGTTTGGGACTGGTGCACCCCAAACGGTGGCCGGATGCGACAGTGGTGCCCCAAAAACCAAGCTGATGAATAGTAACAGGAGGAAGAGGAGGGGCTGCCCACGAAACATAGGGAGAAGAAAATAAATAGAACCTGAGTATTGTAGCACTCGGACTGTAGCGGCATTGTTGATACAGTAACTAATTTTAAAATTCCCATTACGTCCTTTTTGTTTCTAGACCTTTCCTCCTTCGTTACAACTCGGAATCGGGCGTGCCCGCATATCTACGAACTCGTATCAATGTGCTCTACGCAACGATACAATTGAAATTCCCAAATTCCTTCCCAGTCATAAAGTCAACTTTTAAACCATATAAAATATTCCGAGGGTATACTAATCCTTTCTTTGAATAAAATAATAATTAAGAATTAATTGAGGATTAGGTTGTTACACTTGTAGACTAATTAGCTAGGATTAAATTCATGAATTAAAGATTAATTACCATTTAATGGTGATTTAATCCAGACAAGACAGTTGATAATTGAATTTAAGATTATGCCTAGTTTCAAAAGTCTTCAAAAGCCCAAGAAATTTGATCATCACCGTTGATCTCAATTCAAATCAATAGATATTTTGGAAGATCTTTTTCTCAGAAGAAGGCCCATGTGACTTTGAAAGTCAAAGTTTTCAATTGAAGCAAAGGAAGTGATGGGGAGTTAATGAAAACTGGTTAACCAAAAGAACACTCTCCATAAACATCTAAAAAAGCCAGAAAAAAGGGGCAGCCAAGTTTCCTCTCCATACTCATAGAGGGCTCTACATTAGAACATGATGTGTTTTTTAAAGAAAAACGAACAAGAGACAGGAGAGTTTTTGGCCAGAAAAAGCAAACAGACCATCATAGAAGTTGACTGTTGATGGTTCTTCTTTGCCAGAATAATAACTTCCCCTTTTTGTGGCATTAGAAAAGGAAAATCCTTTTAAAAGATCTTCCCACCAAATAATAAAAACCCTAATGTAGGGAAAATAAAAATAAAAATAAAAATAAAACTCATCAACCCCACACCCCGCTGTCTTGCCCCTTACCACTCTAAGTTCACCTCAATCTCACATTACTTAAAGAGATAAAAACATTGTTGTCACATGTGTAGCAACATTATTTTATAAGTATTATTAGTTTTAAAAAAATTTGAGAATGAACTAGGAGGTTTTGATAGAGAAATGTTTACAGTTAAATTGATATGTAAGTTACCATCATCAAATATGAAGAGTGGTTGAGTATGTGTATAAATGTACTAGGGTTAAGTATTACGTTAGATGACCTTTTTGATCTTTTTACACAATAACAAAACTTAAGAGATTAATAATCTACCGCTTTAAGTATTAAAGTGAGCAAAGAAAAATATGAGATTTAAATAGAAAAACTCTTATTTTGTTATTAGCGTTTTTTTATTTTTCTATCAATAACTGCCATCTATGATTTGAACTCAAGGACTGCGTTCATAAAGCAGAGACTCAATCTATAAGATTATTAGCATTTAATGATAATTAATTACCTATAAGATGCGAGAATTCAAATCTATTGTGAACCTAGACAGCTGCAAAAGGCTAAAATTTAGATTGATGAAGAAACAATTACCCCGAACTTAAATATATTGATTGATAAAAAGTAAAGCAAAAGTCTACCAGCCTGCGTAACTTTGTGTAGGAGATTCTCATCCATTGATTTCTATAGAGATCCTCTGCTGTCCTCCCATAAATAACTCAAAATTGTTTCAGATGAACTCTTTCTTCAACCCTCGTTGCATATAAAATGGAAACAATCAAATCCAAACACACCTTATATCAAACACAGAATCTAAAACACAAACAGAATAAATTAAAGGCTATGGCGATGACAGTAATGGCAAAAAAGATGTAATGAGAACAATTCAGAAATCACGGAAGCTCATTTTAGGATCCACCTTCTTCCCAGTACCCCGCCCTCTACCCCTATATCCACCTCTCCTTGATCCTCTACCCCTTCCTCTTCCACCCATGCGCTTGAAAAATGATTTGCCATATTTCATCTCCACTAGGGAATGGAGCAATTCATCACAAAGAATGCAACCGGTATACAACGTCTCTCCATTCTCCAAGGGTGTTGTCTTTTTATTGAAGTCCACTTCTAAGATTGTGGAGTCACACTCAGGGCACCGCTCTCGAGTAGTGGAAATCTGGTGAGCTCCTTCGGGGAGCAAGACAAGGAAATTGCACATATTGCAACAGAGCCGCCATTTGGGAGCACTCACAGGGTCTAGAACAAGTGTTCCACTACATTCAGGGCAAGCACATACTCCTTTTTAAGAATGTCTTAGACTGAAATCCTCTCCACCTAGGTGTACCTCTAATCCTAATCCGTCAACTCCATTAATACTGTTAATACCCTTCTCACAGGCTGAGTCGCAATCCTCGCAGGCCTCGGAGATACCACTTCTATTCGGGCCACAACCTAGAAAAAACTATCTATTCATCCCTTAACATGATTTAGATAACTCCTTTCGGTCAGGACTCGTTTACTATAAACCTAGCCCTAGGGTTGGCATTTCTGGAGTATCCGGGACTCCGTTTTACAATCTGTCGAATCTTATACGATCCTGGCATTATCTAGATCAATGTATCTATAAATGACTGTGATTCAACGGCTCAAACATGTTGAATCCAGAAATCACACACTAGGCGAGATCCGTTCGGGGCTCAAACGTTACCCGAATTGGAATCCGCGAGTACCCACTCGCTCGTGAGGACCAAGGGATTATTCTAGGACTGAATGTGGTCCCCATTCTGCTGCCCACGCTCCGGCAACGCGTGGGTGGCTTGATCAATTTTTGGCAGCCGAAAAAACTCTAAACCGCCGACCTAAACTCCTACTCTAGGTGTAACACCCTGTTTGGAACCACTT